TGGTCACTCTAATGATTCTTCTGTGGAAGTGCTGGGCAGCCCTGTCTCTCACCCAGCCTGTTGGCAAAGGGAATATTCTGGGAACTGCCAACACTGAAGTCTGAGCCTCTCCATTGAGGATGAAAGCAAGTCTGGGATAGCAGGAGTTTATGTATTTAATTGCTTAGGTACCAAAATAAAATGTCCCAATTCCAGTGAAACCCTACAGATTAATTATACCTGAGTTTTTCTTCATGCTGATGTTAGTGGTTGCAGGAATGTGCTCTGCCAGAAATTTGTTGGTGTTGATATGCAATAAATCTCCCTTTTAATATTAAAAAAACCTTAAGTTTTTTTTTGTTTCTATTGTGGCAATGCCTACAGGTCTGCTATATGTACAAGAATCATAAACTCCTGTGTACTGCTCAAACAGTAAAGAAAGCACTAATGAAAAAATGTATGCTCTAGTCTTTACTGTTATACTTAATATTATATTCCTCACTTCTTTGGAATCTTATAATAATTATTACCTTCAAAACATCCTCACTTATTTGTTTTGCAGGTGCTGTTTAGATAGTGGGATAAATACAGATAATGCTTAAGAAAGTATTAAAAAGCTCATGCAGTATTTTGCATAAAATATTGTATTCTACAACATGTACCACAATATGATTTGTGGTATTATTTGAAATTGTTTATATTTAATTTTAAAAAAATATGTTACAGAAAGGAGGGACTGTTTAGATAGCACTGGAGAGAGCCTAATGTGGAGCTAAAGAAAGCAGTTGATTTTAAGGGAGATTTGGAATAAGAAAAAGAATGTGGAGGATAGATATATTGAGCTCTTTTTCTATTAAGCTCTCAGGAGCAGCATTCTAAAGGATACATTGCAGGTAGTCATCTGAGAATGAAAGCTCTATTTCTGTGAAAAATCATTTAGAACCCACCTGTTTATATTTCACAGAAGTGGTGAGTGCAAGATGTATAAGTGATTGAAGATTGTGTGACTTGCAAAGGGCAAAAGTGTGAATGAGGCTGTCTGTTTTACTTCTCCTGGGAAGAGGGTTGCATTTTACAGCCCTAAGCCTAAAACTGCTTCATTTCCTGTCAGAAAAATAATTAGAATTAACACACATGCAATGCTCACTCTAGAGGGAAGATTTTTAAAGCAGTTTAGGAGAGGGAAATAGGGGAAACTTTGTTAAAAGTTGGAGTACTAAGGACTTTGAGCTCTTAAAAGCATCTGGTTTTAAATGCTGAGGAGTGAGGTTTTCCTGGTAGGCCTCCTATGAAAGAGGAGGAATGAGAAAACAAAAAGGTGCTCTGGAATCCACTGTATAGGGACTGCCTTAGGCCTGGCAAAGGAACAGGAGAAGGAACGAAAATATATCTAAAACTGCCATTTCGTACTTGGCCCATTTCTTACCACACTAGGTGGGTGTGGAATATTCTTGTAGGCGTTAAATCCCTTCTTTTTTATTATAGCAAGTGGCTACAGAGACTCATCTACTTAGAGAAGCAAAGAAAAAATCCAAACACAGTTAGTAGTGACATTCATCCAAGTCCACTACATCATCTTATGTTCTGATGGTTTTGTAGACTCATTTTAATCTGTTTTAGTGAGGACAGTAAGTTTTTAGTATTCTCTTTAAAACACTTCATAAGCCAAAACCAACAAAATTATCTTAGAATTGAATATAGTTAGATAAAAATATGTTCCTCTGAGTTCCCATAAAACTGTCTGCTCTATTATTTTCTTATTTATCAATTATTGTTTAAATCCTTTAACAGAAATATGCTTTAAAAGTGACCCTTGTAATAAGGACAGATGAAGTAGGATGACTTTGCCAAAACCTGTCTGCACCAACAATGTTCCAGTTCATTGCCTGAAGTGAAGGGGTGATTCTGGATATAATATCAGTGTTACCTATCTTGGATAAGTGCTAATTAAGGAGTAAAAATATTTCCTATGTGAAAAGTTAACTTTTTAAAAAGTTCTTTGTGGTTTAAATGTCATGGGAACTGTAATGTCAGGGCCTTAGAAGGGTTTATGGACAAGTCAAGAGCATTGCTAAGAGAACAGATGTTGGAAACAGATGCCATATCCTTGTGTGTTTAGCAACACCTCTTTCAGAGCCTTGCTTCTCTGCAGCTCTGTATCATAAATAATGTGTTGACTCACTCTTAGCCCTTCTGCTGTTGTACTGAAAGCCAGGCTATGTTTGGATCCTGTAAAGTGCATTATTGTATCCAAGGGCTGAGCTGGTTGAAGTGGAGACACTGAATACCCACTGAAAATTTCTATCATTTCCATCCTTTCTTGGAAGGGACAGAGAAGTGGAATTTCAGTTTTTGTTTCTGGGTTCAGTCTAATCTCAATCTGTTCAATCACAGCGGTTTAATATAAAAAGTAGTTTTTTTGATGGGTTTTTTGTGCAGCTAAATGGGTGACATTCCCAGGAAATCTGCAGGAGTTTCAATAGTGATGCTGATTTTTAGCTTTTTATTTCATTTTAATGAAAAAATGTAAAGAAAGGCAGATTTGTTTATAAGCAAAACTCAGTTGAATCTTAATTCAACTATAAAATGAGCTTAAATCCTTTTAAGGATTAACTTGTAGAATATTCATCTCAAGGCAACAAAGAAGTTGACTTTCTTAATGGTGATACTTTTCTGTCTTTCCTCTTTTTTCTGTTTGTTTATATGGATTCATACAGGTCTTAAATATATAGCAAAAGTTGGTTGATTTAACTTAAAGGAGTTTCAAAAGTAATTTAATCTAAATAGATGTTCCTGTCTAGACTTAAAAACTTTTTTTTGGTTTATCTTCATGCCTCATAGACTGAAAACTACAGCAAGCCTGTTTTAACTGAATTTGTAAATACATTCTTTCAGTTATTGAGGTAGTACAGAAAAAGAACCATATTAGTCCTGGGAGCAAAATGAAGTAACTTAGATATTAACAATGATGCTATTCCTGATTTTGCCAAGAGGAATAAACATTAAAACATAAAAGCAGCTTTAAACTAGGGGTTTTTTCACTGACACACACATGTGCCTGATCAAGTGGAAGGTGTCCCTGCCCATGGCAATTTGGTTGGAGCTAGGTGATCTTTTTAAGGTCCCTTCCAACTCAAGCTGTTCTATAATTGTATAAAACAACCATCCCTATTTGATATTATGGATCCACAGTGCTAAATACCCAGAAACTCCATAGGAAAAAATAATTGCTCTCTGTACATCTAAATACTCTTAGTTTGGAATTGACTTTTTCAGCCAGTACATTTTGAAGACTGCTTAGCCCGAAGGGATTCATCTGCAGTAGAAAATGACAAACATGTGTATTAGATGATGATTGGAAATGCTGCATGATGGAAAAGGGAAGCCAAAGCCTGCGGTGCAAGTCCATTCCTGTGAAACTCGGTGAAGTCCATCAGAAGCCTCTTAGAGTAATCAACAGATTGTGCATGTGTTACATCCCAAATGAAGGCAGGAAAGCCAATCAGCAGAGAGATAAAGACACTTCCCAGAGCTCTCATCTCCCTGTCCCCCTCTTTGCATGGAAATCCTGCAAACAGCAGACATCACATGGCCCTAATGAGAGCAGGTGTGTTCCCTCATGGATCCCAGCCAGTTGTGGGTGGTAATGAAACCAATCTGCAAATGAGATTTTAAAGGGTGCAATATTTCATCACGGGCAATACTGTCAATGTGCAGAAGGCCCTTCCCTCTCTGCAGAGAGGAATGTGATTAGTTGCAGATTAAGAGGGATGACAGCACAGAGTTCAAAGCACACCCTCCACAGTGTCAACAGGCCTTAATGATAACATAGTGCCACTTCCCTGAAGGAGTTTCATGTCTTATTCAATGGAAATGGCAAAAATGTGGCGTTTTAGAACCAATGATGTGTTTTTCTATTGATGCTGTCATAGTGCCCAGCTGCTGAAAGAGGGGCTGTTTGTCAGATCCCATTTTGCTCAGTGATTCATCAAACAGGGGCAGTTCATGCATGCACTATCAGAATGGAAATAAATAACTTGCAGCAATGCATTGGACCATCTCCTGCCTGCTTTGATGCTATCTGATGTGTCAGAGATTTTGGGTAGGTTCATTTGGTATTTTGCAAGATGCATGGCTGCTTTTCAAGAGCAGGATTTAGAAAATAGCAATGTTATAGATGAGAAAAGCAGAACTATGCATTTACATTTTTCCTACTCTGAAAGTTTTACTCTCCTTGAAAGTGCCATTAATGCAATCTTTTCTCTCTCTTAAATTCTGTAGTTTTGTTCAATTACAGTCATTCTAAGAAGGAAGAAAAATTGGTTTAATAAAACTCAAAACTGATTAAAATCTAATTTGCTTGCATAGCACTTGCTATCACCTATAGGATGCAAATGCATGACCTGACATTATTTAGTGGTAATAAAATAAATGTTTCTCTTTCAGAAGAGTATAGGCACTAACAACCATGAGTTCTTAATAAGTTGTAGGCATTTCTGGCTGGCACAGTGTGACCTGGATGTAAATTAAGATATTGGATGTTTTTTCATTGCTAAGATGGGAGAGCCACATGGTGTGGGGCTTTAAGTCTTAAAATATCAGAGGATTAGTTTTAATTATTGTGAGATTTTGACAGTTTAGGATTTGATATGAAATTGTTAGAAAAGGGGAGGGGGGAAGACATGCATAAGGAAAGCCAAGTAAAAAGCTTGACATATAAGAGGCTTCTCTTTTGGAAAGTAATGTTGATCAGTGTTATGGGAGCTTGCTGATTTTCTAAAGGGAAATACTATGAAAGTTTCACACAGTCTGACTTTGGGTGCCTGAATTAATACACTAATGCCCAGAGAATACACAGAGTGGTTTGGGTTGGAAGGGACCTTGCACATCACCTACTCCCAACAAAAGTTCCTCCTTAATGTCTGCCTAAAGAAAGGAGAGCAAATATTTTAAAATACGCAAATTGTATACCCCAGCTTGTGTGAAGTTTTGAGTAAGAGAAAGTTTCAATCTGTACTCACTACTTGGGATGTAGTTTAATTTTCTATTAAAATCCACTTTTGTTCCCTGAGTTCAAGGGATTCTGATAAGGTCTTCCGTATGCAGTGTGTTCTCCTGGGTCTGCTGGAAAGAAATGCAGAAATAAATCTCTCTTCTTTTGGATCCCTCTTTTTCCATAGTAGCTAACCCTCACAGAGGTTGTTCTAGGGAGCAGCCTTTATGTGGTCTTAAAGGATAAAAGGCTTCTAAAGTGTGGTTTGATAGTAATTTAATTGGCATAATGATAATAATATGCAGTCGACATTTTTATGATTGTTTTGTTGCTTCATATTCTAAACTTTCAGCCCACCTGAGTGATCAGTTGGATGGCAAAATTCTCCCCAATGTCTAACTATTATCTTCAGCCAAATCACAGGAGAAGCACAAAAAAAAAAAAAAAAACCAAACCAAAAATCTGTTCAGGATAGTCAGTCTAGGCACAGTAGGCACAGTAGTTTAACTATTCCTGTGACAAAGATGATAGTATCCAGCAGGATTCTTTCTCTCCCTAGAGATGTATAAATTAGCATAATATGAGTACAACCAATGTCAGACCATTATTAATTAGTTTTAAAAGCAATTATACACAGGTATGTGTGTAATCATAATTTCCACGTGTATTACATTTGTATGTACCAACACACACAGATCCCCACACACAGAGTTTACATTACTCATAAAGTGTCACAGCAGGGTAAGAAATTTTTCATTGGTTAAGTAATTTTTCATTGGTGTATGGGAAGGTGTGATCAGGTTTTTTTCCATTCTTCTCCACCTGAGAGCTCATTTACACATCAGTTAGAGGAATGAAGGAAACTGTGCTATTCTTTTCAGTGTGGATTTTGTAACTGCTTTCATTAAAAACTTGCTGGTAGTTTTCTGTCATGTTCTGATCAAAATCCCCAGCAGTGTTCTGCTCTGGTGCATCCTCCTAACATGAGTAGTGGGCTAGAAAATGTCACTAGATTTAAGATAATGATTTATCAGTTCATGAACAGAATTAATGGATGAGTCTGTGAGCATGAGAAACCAAATTCCACTATACTCTTATATTTTTGATCTCATTAGGCATCTTTAGCATTGCCTTCAGGAGAAAAATGGTCAAAGTAAAGGCATAATCAGCAGTTTGAGGTGAGAGAAACAGATAATACTGAGGAATTTTGGAGCTGCTGTATGGGTGATGGCAGGATGCAGAAAAAGTGGCTTTCTGCTTAGAGAGTGGCAGGTGTATATTGAAAGTGAAACATGGGATCCTCTGTCTTCCTAACTACAGCTCCAGCTTGCATGTGGTGTGTAGTCCATCAACATAAATCCCTGAGAATTTCTGTGTAAGACTCCTTCTCCCGGAGTAAATCTTCCAATATTCCCGTTTGAGGGGCATCAAGGGCAGAAATTCTAAGAAATGAATGTATAGAGAGGAATTAATCTTCAGAAATGTGAAATGAATGCTCTTGGCAGGCATTTATGATGTAGTTGCACAGCAGTAGCATGTTGGAAACAGCTAAAAAGTGTGAGTTGGAATTCTCTTCTGGGCTGAAATCACCACAGCGTATGCCTTTTTTAGAACGTGATGAAATTTATGGGTTTCTCACAAAGAATTATGGCCATGTAAAATACTATTGAAGCATCTGATATGATTGAATGGTTAACAGATTACACCAGTAAAAGAATATTCTGGACTGGGGAGGTCTGGCAATTGCAAGTCTAATTCAGCAGTGTAGATTGTGGTATTTGAACAAGACTAGATTTATAAAGGACTGTCTGGGGCATAAAGGTCCTAGAGGCTTTAAACTGTTTATTTAAGATTTGAAAAAAAAAATAAAACACAACACATGATGGTAATAATGACAAGAACAATAATAATAATGTATTTTGAATTGAATATTTGTATCCATATCACGCAGTCATTCTGAGCCTAAAAATGCAAACCCAGTATAATTTCATAACGCTTCATTTGCTAATGGAGCAGTGTAAACCAACTGAAATACAGACACACAATCGACAAGCAGTGCTATTACAGCTCATTTATCAAACACGTTAGGCTTATGAATGCAGTTTTACATTGTGTATTAGTTGCATTAGTTACAGCATTACATGGCTTACCTCCCGTGATCTCAATTGACACAACACAGGTATCTGATGGTTTCAGGATGATGTAACAGTCAGTATTTTTCTCTTTTCTCCAGAGTAAGCTTGGATCTTTTCCTGCAAAAAAGTTAATCTGGGTTATTGTTCAGTCCTGGCCCTGAACTCTATTTTAAAGGCTCAAGTGAACTAGAAAAATGCTCATGCATTTTGCCTTGTAACTCAGGTAAATTGCTAGTGCATACTTTTGTATACTGGCAGTGAAAAGGACCATGCACTTCCCTTTGTGGGACCCACTTGTTGAGTACATTACATGCTACTATGAATGTTTCCTTCATAGTATTTCCAACTTCACTGCTAATTACTGAAGGGGTTTATTATTGGAGGGTTTGGCATTTTCATGGGGAGTTAGAAGTAACAGTGCAAAAAGTTTAAGCAAATTTCAAAAGGAAGCAATTCAAAAGTAGTATTGTTTCTACTTAAAAGAAAAAAATTACAATAACTTCAGAATAATGGAATATTCACTTATTTCTGAAAAATCTCACGTGCCTTCATGAAGAGGAGACAGAGGAGGCTTTACACAGTGCAGCTTCTTCAAGCGGGGGAGCAGGAGGGGCAGGCTCTGACCTCTTCTCTGCAGTGACCATTGAAAGGAGCCAAGGGAACAGCCTGAAGCTGTGTCAGGGGAGGTTTATAATGAATATCAGGGAAAGGTTCTTCCCCAGAGGGTGGCTGGGCACTGGAACAGTCCCCAGGGCCGTGGGCACAGCTCCAGAGCCTGCCAGAGTTCAAGCAGTGTTTGGACAATGCTCCCAGGCACAGGGGAATTGATGGGACTGTCCTGTGCAGGGCTAGGAATTGGACTTTGATGGTCTTTGTGTGTTCTTTCACACTCAGGCTGTTCTGTGATTCATATAATAGTTTGCTTATGTGGCTTTTTTTGCAGATTTTTTTAATGGATTCCAGATACACATGACAACAAAACTCATACTCAGCTCCTATAGTTCTTCTCTTGAGGTTTAAATATTTTCCAAATCGTTTTGAAAACAAATGCAAGTTAGTTATTATTAAGGATTTTCAATAATTTATTTTAGTGCAAAAGATCCTTCATATTATTGTGTACCTGTAATTATTTACAGAATTGAATTAATTTAGACTTTGGGTCGTGAAGGTGTGAAGGTGATCCTTTTCAGTGTATCTGTAATGGAAAGAAAGAGGATTTGGAAAGGTGGAGTGGATGTGTTACTTCTACATCATTCTACTTTGATGCCAGGGTATTTCTGGTATTTTGTATTGTTCCATTTGTAAAACAAATTACTTACCTGAGCAGCCCTCCTTAAGTATGTGTGCATAGCTGTAACTGGATAGGAAAACACTGGTAATGTTATAGGTAGGTAATACTTAACTACTCAGATTCACAGTGAATATCCTTTTAATCCTTGTCCTCATGCCCTGTATTTCTGTTATACACGTTCCCTTCATTGTAGTTGTTTTAAAGACAACCAGAGGTTTTTCTCTGTCTACAAGGGAATGGGGAACCTGCACAAAACCCTGTAAATGCAACTCCCCATTGAAAATCAAACCCCCATGAATATTATATGAGTGAGAATTAACCATTCCCACTAGTCAGAAAACAGAATAAAAACCAGCTGAGGTCTCAAGCAGAGGATTTTCATCACTTATTAAACCTCCAGCTTAAAGCAGAAAAAGTGTAACAGTGAAGTTATGTTGCAGTGCAATGCCCTATGCTCTGTTTTTTATAATGCCATTTATTTAAAAAAAAATCTATAATCAGTTATCAAAGGTCATTTATTCCTACTGAAATTCTGATTTTGAACAGTATGCAGTCCCATGTACATTAATTTCCACTGACATTTGTCTCTCCCCATTTGCCTCCATGCATCTGTGTAAGGGAGCTAAAGTTTATTAGTCACAAGAGGAGATGATCTTAAATACCTCTTGCTTTGAATTTAAATGGGGCCCGTCTAGCTACTTTGAAATTAAAATTAAATTCAAAATTAGCACCCTTGATTATGAAAGAGAGTGTGAGAGAGCAGTCAAGTGTGATTTTTCTGAAAAAATTATCCTTCTGTGATACTGCTATAGACAGTACTTGGTAGTTACTGACACTAGGCTAGATTGTGACAGACCTTTTGTATACATGGACATATGTGATAAAATATCTACTTCATATCAGGCCTCATCATAGGCTGCCTGAAATTCACAGTGCTTAACTTCAGGAGAGTGCCCTGGCAGATTCTCCATTGATGTCTGGGAAACGGGTTTTACATGTGGTCTTTGCATTACAAGAAGAAGAGAGCTATGAATGTGAATGTATGAGCATCCTCTTATTGCTTCAAAAATCCCAAAAGTGCCACATGACATAAAAGTGCAGGTTAGTTATAAATTTATGCTGCTAATTCCAATTCCTCCAAACATTTTTGATAGGTGAACGTGACAGCAGCAGGCTCTCTGCCATGCTGTCAGTCTTCCCACATGGCCAGCACTGAGTTCATATTGAGTGCTGTAGTGGAGTGTGCAGCAATCTGCCCGTGTGTCTGTGCTGATCAGAGGCAACTGTGAGCAGGAACACGCATCTGCTATCAGTAATTATGGTATTGCAGCCTCAGTGGCAGAATTGAAAGAGTTATAGAATTATTGGGGTATTTTTGGGAGAGAACTGTTGCAGCTGCCATTAGTTCAGTATAATTGATTGCCATGTTTTTGGGACATGGTTGTGAGGAGGAAGATGTACACTTCCTGAGCTGAGAAGTGAATGCTGGAATTGTACAGCATTTTGTATTTTCTGCCTCTGAAGGAAAACCTAAAATGTAACTCCAAGTGCCTGGATGTCACTTATGTCATTATTTCCAAGTCCCTGAGAAGCACTTTGTAGTGGTTTAATACCTGTTCTTGTTTTAATAATTCCTGAATTCATAAATGATTGCGTGCATAGACTTTGCCTTGGCTTATTTCTTGAATGACTGAATTCAAGGTGAAAAACATTGAATTTTTTTTTTTTTTTTGATTATTAGAAGATTATTTTGATTCTTAACTGAAATATCTTAAAGCATTCTCAAAAGACTGTTTAAAACTTTCTTGGAAGAAATCCTCTGTGCCTTGGTGCAGAACCCTATGTTTTATCTGAACTGGTGCAGTTAGATGGAAGTTTTGGTAAGACAAATTTCCCTTCCAAAGCTTTATTAACCCTCCGAAGCTTTATTAACCCTCCGAAGTACAGTATCATAAAATTAGAGAAATGTGTTTCACTTAAAACCTTTCTAAAAGGTTTTAATTAGCAGTTTAATGGTCAATGCAAAGGCGAATGGGACTGTGTTTGTCCATTAAATTAAAGGAAATTAAATTAAATAACGCGTTTTGGTTTTGTAGAGCGTGCTCTTGTTGTGACAAGCATGAATATGTTTCTGAGAGGGTTGATTAGCCTTTTGGCCTCTCTGCTTAATATTTTTGTCATTCTTCTGTGGAAGTTCCCGTGTGCCTCCCATCAGGATTATTGGAATTTGGAACCTTATCTATAATTGTCTAACGATGGGGGTGACATGATGTCTCTTCGCTGCATTAACTTTATCGTTCCGTGTAAAACATTAACGCAGCAAAAATCTGATCTTGTAAATGAGACCCATGTCTTCATCTTGATCAGAGAAATGAAATTTGTAATTCAAATTAGAAAAGTTAATGAACTTAATGCACAGGCTAGGAAAAGTGTTGTAATGTGCCAATTTGGTGTTCCTATGGACGCTTCCAAACATTCCCATTAAGGTATTGATTGTGTCCATTTAGCAAAGTGAAGGGGACCTGAACTCCCTAATGGTTTACACATTACACCAATAGTGTCTAGACCCCCAAACAAAGAAAACCCATTGACAAGCCTTAAATTTCCTTAAAAATGGAATTTGACAATGTAATTATTAGTGCCAGTATGCTTCTTTTGAAGACCAAAAGCTGTTGCAGGCAGAATATGCAGCCTTTTGTGTTTATTGATATCTATGAAGAATTTAGTGTTCCCAAGTTGAAATAATGGTGCAGGGTCTCAGCACTACAAATAATACCTAAGGTCTCCCATCACATAATTGACTGATGTGGTTTTATAGTGACACTTTATATGGAGACATAATGTTGTGATCATGGTTGCAGTTTGGACATTCAAATTCTACTTCTTGTACTTTCAGAAAAAAATATTTCTGCATTGATTACCAACAGCTGTGCTTTTATCTTCCATCAGTTGTTGTTGGTAGTTCACAGAGGGTGTCAAGGCAGATGATCAGATGATGTTGCACAAAGCTTTATTAGAGGAGTTTGGAGTTGATGGCATCTGAAAACTTTAAAATTGTCTTGGGAAAAAAAAAAACTCCCTCCCAGAAAAAAGAAAAAAAAAATCCAATAAACTGAGGACAAAAAGAAGTGGTTGCCTGTGAAAAGTAATAAAGCATATACTTGGACAAATGTCCTCTGCAATGCACTAGGAGGTTTCCCCAGGGACTTTTTGGTGAAGATCCCTTTGCCTAGGCTTGCAGGCTAAAAGCCAAGAGGCAAAGGGTGATCCAGGCATGTGCACCAGTCTGTGCCACAGAACCCACTGTGGCAGTGGTCAGAATGCGCCAGTGCAGGGCTGTGAGCAGAAGAACGCTTGGGTTAGTTGGAGAAGCACTGCCTCAGTATCCTCAGGGTGTGTGCTGATGAAAAGGCACAAGGTTACAAGGGACAGTCAAATTATAAAGTTAGAAATGGAGGGCCTTGGGAATGTGAAGGTAGCGGGCAGTGCTTTGTGCAGGAGATGTGAGACTCCACTAGCCCCAGGTGATTTCTGGATTGTTTGATTGTGTATAGAAGAGTTGTTCATGAGCAAAACAATAACAGCTGCTGCATTAGCTCTTGTGCCAAGCAGTAAAGTGAAAGTAATAATCTGCAACTGCACTTGAAGATTGTTTAATTCTTTTGTGAGTTTTGAAGTGAGGTTCTCCATCAGTATTTTCCTCCTTCTGTGTTGAGGACTTTTGTCCCGAAAGATTGATGTTCCATGAGTTGTGAATGACTGGTTTTCTCATCTTGAGAGATTGTACGTGCCAGCTTGTGATCATTTTACTGTTTTACCAGG